ATAAAATGATCAACAGATTGGCCGTACACTGGGCTTAGCTTTTCATGATGATGTTCAAATTAAAATCCGATTAATCGATAGAATAATCGATTGCTAAAATAACCGTTAGCTGCAGCCCTACATAAGGATTATTTTCTGTCTTAAATGTCTAAAATTCTAAAGATAAAAATGTCTTAAATTTAACTTATTAAATTTGTAGAAAACTCTAGTTGAAAGTAATCCTCTTTCTACTGTGACTTTAAAAAGTATTCACACTCCTTAAACTTTACAACCCCAAACATAACTGTGTTTTATTGGGATCTCGTGATAAACACAGAGGAGTTTTGTTTCCGACCATCTTTACTCTGGTACCTATAAATAAAAGTGCAAGCAACCAGAAGAAAACTCATTTATAAAGCCAGATAGCAGAGCTAGGTCACAGAACAATATTTTACTGTTTAATCCGTGATCTGACAATGACCGAACATGGATCATGTTATCAAATTTAAATGATAGGAATTCATCTATCAAGCCGAGCGGCTGGTGAGCAGAACTGACAGGTTGTTGGTGCAATTCCAGAGCTCTGTGCTACCTAAAGCTGCAGCGGTTCGGTGAGGCCAAGCAGGACTGCGACGCAGCGCTGGAGCTGGAGCCGGACAACAAGAAGGCCTTTTTTAGACGGGCCCTGGCCAACAAGGGCCTCCAGGTCAGCATACACAAACACCACGCTTCTGTCTTCATTAAGACCAGCGTTTAAGACAGCACATGGGGGCGCAGCATGATTCCACAGCCAGTTTGTGTGTTCGCTCCCATCAGGATTACCTGGCATGTAGCTCGGACCTGCAGGAAGTGTTGCAGCTGGACCCCAACGTGCAGGAGGCTGAGAAGGAGCTGGAGGAGGTCACGGTCCTGCTCAGACAGAGTCTGTCCAGCGCCACACAGGACAAACCCAGGAAGACCGTTGCCATCACAGAGGTATGTCTCTGTTCTGTTTCATGGCCGTCTGCGCTCTGCTCACATGTAAAGCCTTATTTTTCTTTCAGGATATGATATGGTTGGAGCCCCAAGTTTCCATATTATAAACGTTACAGATACATTTTAATAAATTAGAATATGTGAACCAATGAGGCTTGTTTGTTAGCTTATAAGGACCTTTTGATAATAACTTTCTACCAGGAAGTAGATTGCTTTGCATTAAGCCCACACTTCTGTATTAACGTGTGGGCTTCAATACACACTTTATTAAGTGTGTATTAAACTTAATACACACTTAATAAAGTGTGTATTAAGTTTATTAAACTCTAATAAACTTAAAGTTTAATAAACTTTAAGTTTATTAAATAAACTTATTTTATTTAATAAAACTAAATAAAATAAGTTTTATTTAGCTGTATGTGAAAAATCATTACAATTAACAGAAAAGAAATGCTCAGATCATCAGTCTGTGTGAATATGAAGCTGTTTCATTCAGTGAAATAAACCTTCACTGATGTAAAGATACACATCAGCAAAAAACAACAAGGTGGTCCTGGTTGGAATTCACATTACGGGCACACTGATTGAAGTTTATTGGCCGACCACCGATTTTCTGTTATTTTTTATTATTATTATTTTTATTGTAAACGTTGCTAAATATAGCAATAGTTGCTAAGTCAACCATACATGTGTAGAAGCTGACGTGGTGGGTGGGTCTGTCAGCCAGTGGGTGATTTTTCAGACGTTTGCTGAGGTTTCACATCCATAACTCACATGGCTCTAAGACGTGTGTCCGTCTCGTACTGCAGGTCGACGGTGAGGAGGTTATGACGGAAGCTCCAAACTCCGAGAGCAGCTGCACAGGAGACAACATCAGCATCAACCTCAAACCCAGCAGCGCCTATGAATTTGGTCAGTCTTTGAACGCATCGCGCTGCTGTGGAAACACAGCAGCCTGCGCCAAACTGCTGACATCCACGGAACCAGAACTGCTTCCCCAGTATCTTAGCAACCAGCTGGATGGACACACCATCAGCTTCATCGTGAAGGCACTGGACTCCCATTTACTGGAAAAGAAGCCCGACTTGGCGTACCGGCACCTCGATCAGCTGCACACCGCTGACAGGTTCCGGGTAAGAGGGGATTCAAATGGTTTTGTTGGTGAATATTTTAAAAATATGACTCATATATGAATGAAGGTAAACAGCTGAACTGTGTCTGCAGGTGGCTCTCATGATGCTGGAGAAGGATGAGCGTCGCTACGTGACTCAGCTCTTTGAGCGTCTTTCAGCTGTGGAGAGTGCAGAGTTCACCAAGGATGATGTTCAGAATCTGGCCAACAAATACATCTGACCCCCCTCCCTACACCTCCCCCCTCCTCCTCCATGCTGCATGAGCTGCTGCTCCTCCAGTCTGCAACAGACTACACCAGAACTGAGCTCACAATGTTTCCACAGAAAGACCGAGGAACTGATTGAAAATCTAATCGACTCCGACAAGTTCTGAATGTTCTCTTACGTTTGGATAATTCTTAAGATATCTTTTTTTTTTTTTTTTTTTGTTCAGAACAGTTTGCTATGCACATTTTATGTACCAGCACAAACCACTTTAACTGAACATCTGGATCATTTAACTTAACAAAAGTGTTCCAGCCTCAATGTGGGATCGGTCGAGTGGAGAGTCAGACAGCAGGGCGGTCTCCCCCCGCTGACCCCCTGCGGTCTGCCGGGATTACATAACAGAAACTCGTGTTCCCAGAACAGAGCTTTGTTTATTTGGTCCATGAAGTTTTTGAAATCAGAGGCCATTATTAACCAGCCATGTTTAGAGAAGGTATTCAGTGCTACTTAAAGGAAACTGTGGCTGTTAGCAACTGAAGTTACCTCGCTACACAAACAGAAACAACAAAGCTCATTGCTGTTCAGCGGAAAAAAAAAACGTTCATGTTTAATTCTGTTTCACAGCAACTATGCAATAAGATGCATTGAATCACTAAGTCTTGCCACTGATATAAGCTGGGGTCAGTAAAGTCTGCCAGGTGAGGCAAAGATCCGCATTCACCTTCATATGAGCTCTAAGACGTGAAAGCTAGAGTGAAGCAGCGTGCCTATCGTTTTGATTCAGCTAAATATTTGATTTAGTTCCCAGTTTCTTTTTTTTTTTTTTTTAAATGAAGCTTTTTTGTTTTTGTTTTTCTTTTGCACCGATTGCAGTTTTCTGTTCGATTCCAATTTTGGCCGATACCGATATGCTTTAGTCCAAAAGGTCGCAAAAGCAACAGTGGGGTGGCGACTTCTCACAACAGAACAAAGAGGGTCAGTAGCTGATTTCCAGAGCTTTGGAGGTAAATAAGGCCAGCGGATAAAATTCACAAATCGCCCAAAATTAAGGAAATCTGGGCTGATTCATCAGCCTCTAGATTTTTTTTGTTCTCAATTTTACATATAATCAGACCACAATTAAAATCGGCATTCTTTTACATGGTAGAAGAATAAAAATGAAACATTCTGATAATCCTAAACTGAGAGCTGACCCAGTTTTAAAGTCATTTCTGAATGTACAGAGTTAAATTCAGGGACCTGATCTAGGGGCGAGAGGCAATAATTCCATATTTTACATTTGTTCTCTACAATCTAGTTTTAGCTGTATATGTTTCAGTAAAAATGTCATCTGTACAGAATTCAGAGGTCTGTTCAATAAAGAAAGAAAATGTCTTTCATGCCATGCTTGACATATTTGTTATTTTGCTTCACAAAAAACACACATTTGATATACATTTTTTTTTATTTTATTTTTTGTAGATATGCATTTACATGCATATAGTAAAGCAAATTACCAAACAAATATACAAACTCCTTATCCCGTTCTGCACAAACGATCGATTCCATCTGGCACCGGTGTGCAAATTACAACCAAATCATTAATTATTTTGGTTAAAACCAAGAAAAAGAGGAAGAATGAGCAGAAAAATCTTAGCTTTGATGAAGGGAGATCTGCAGCCATGAGGCTTTATCCATGGAACCAAACCAGAACAGACCTGGGTCAAAACCACACTGCTAGTAGAGGTTCACCAGAGCCAGCTCAGCGGCCTCAGTGCAGACCACAGAACAGTTTGGGAGAAGAAAAAAAAAGAAGAAACCGACTTCAAGTCTGCTCAGCAGCACCGTTTTGGCAAAACAAACCCGAATCACAAGACAAACTCACATTCCCATCAACCTCTGCGTCAGCAGAACAGGAAACAGTGTAGGTGCCTGGAGCCTTACTTATTTGCGTAGCTTTAGTGGAACATGTAAAAACAGCAGTGTGTATGTGTGTGTGGGAGAGAACCGGGGTCATATGTCTTCATTCATCCCCACAGTGTTAAAAAAAAAAAAAAGGTCCTCATTACTGTCGGCAGCTGAAGAGTCAAAGAACTAACAAGAGCCTGAGTGCTGTCTTTGGTAGGCTGTTGAAGTCTTCAGTTAAACTCCGCCTCAGTGTGAACGGGCGCGCCTCTAGCAAACACACACTCCGCTGTCAGTACGATGTTCTCCTCGCTCCTGTTTGGACTCCAGAAGACGACGGAGAGGAACACGAGCAGCTTCCTGAAGGCACCATGAGTTAAGATATCAAAGCTCTCAGAGAGGCCAAAGCATCGTCCAGCAGAAATCAGCTCAAACAGTAAACAATTCACTTCTTTGTATAACTTCAGTCAGCTGACCGACCCGCTGGGTAATGTTACCCTCCCGCAGTCTGAAGACAGGTCGAGTGGACCCGCTGTTCGCTGTCCAGGCGGGGTCGCACTGACCTTACGTACGCTTTAATGAAGGTTTTTTTGTGGTTTTGGAAAGTACTGGGCCTGTAAATGGACTTTGAAGGAAAAAAATAAACATTCTCGTGCGCACCAGAATTTTTTTTTTTACCCCTTCAATGTACATTTACGGGCCACGCCCCCAATGGCTTCCCAGTTGACCTGACAGTGACATCTGCCACTCTACCTGAGCGCTGATTTAAACTACGGGAGGGTTAAGCAAAATCTACAGCTTCGGCCTTCCAGAGACCTTTTTTTTATTATCAAATCGGTTCAAACCTTTTCCAGAGCTAAATTCTGCCCAAGATTTCAAAGTTATCTTGGCACTAAAAGACACTTGAGAGATTCAAGCTACAGAACAAAAAGCAGTGGAGCACCATCTCCCTCGGTAGATCTTAGCGTTGTAAAGGTCAATTTCAGAGCTGGAACGGTTCAGTGTCGAGATATATATATATATATATATATATATATATATACACATACATATATTCAAAACAGTCACTTTTACATTTAGGGGGAAGAAAACAAACCAAGAAGTCGTATTGCCTGGTCCCTCGCTCAGTTTGTCTCAGGAAATCAGATCTATTTAACGTTGTATTTGAGATGAACTGAAGAACTTTATTTTGACCTACAGATCAATGCAGCAGCCAATCAGTGAACAGCTTTATGTGAAACATGACAAATACAGAGAAACAGCCTGAGGAGGAACTTTAACACTTTCAGATGGCTGCTAGTAACAATTTTACTCAAAAGCTGCTTCCCATGGAAAACCTCCATCCTAACAAGACACATCTCTTACTAGGGAATAACCAAAACTGTAAAGCAGCAGCTGTTAGCTTAAAGAAGGAAAGGAGGTGGTCTATAAAGTGAATGCAGCACTTCAGGTACGGAGTTTATTAAATATCAGTGTGTAAGCAGGTGTTCCTGGCCTGCTGCTCGGGCGCGGCCGCGTCCTGCGGCTGGTGGTTGTTGTTATGCTCCTTCAGGAGCTCTCCACTGTTGCAGTCCAGTTCGCCGGCACACGTGATGTTGATGTTCTCGTCCGTGACGAAGCAGAGCACCGACAGGTCCGTGCCATTTCCCAGGGAGGAGGTGGTGGAGGTGGGGGACTGGGGAGAGCAGTGGGAAGGACACGCCTCCAACCGGTCGTTCTCCACCTCGGGGAGGGGGCTGACGGTGGCCAAGCGCAGGTGGTAGTCGCCGCCGCCGGAGCCGTGGCTGCACGACGTCTTCATGCTCTCCAGGTCAGAGCAGCTGAACTCGGACATGTGGCTGCAGTGGGAGTCGGCCACCGAGGGCAGGCTGCCGCTCAGCGACGGCGAGTCGAACTCTGAGGAGTTGGTGCTGCGCTGCTCCAGCAGCTGAGCGTCCATGTCCTCCCGTGTTTCGTTGATCTTGGTGCCGCCGCCTCCCTTCTTGCGCAGCTTGCCTTTGCTCTTTTTGCTGCCGGCGCTGAAGGACGAGCCCGACGTCTCTTTGGCCCACTTGGCGGCCGTCCCTCTGCCTTCAGAGGAGCTGCACCCGGCCGTGGGGTTGCTCCAGGCGCAGCGGCCGACGGCGTTGCTGCAGCCGCTGCCGCCGTCGTCGGCGCTGCTGCCGCCGCTGTGGTGCCGTCGCTTGGTGGGTTTGGACTCGATGTCCACCTGGACCTCCATACTGTTTCCCTCTCTGGAGGGACGAGGGGAAGAACATGAATCAGGGTTCAAAGCTTTTTCCACAGCAAAATTCAAGCTCTTTCAGTGTAAGCTTACCAACCTTTACAGCACCACACTTAGGAGATAAAGTCAATATAAATGAATTTAAAAAATACAGTTTCAAATCTCTATTATAAAATATCATTTATTAATGTCTCATGATACATTTTAAACTAAAGTATTACAAAATGTTGTCCTCCTTCAAATTAATCAAAAGGTGTGTCAAACATGCGTTTGTGCTGCTATCATTTTAAAGATATTAATAAAAACATTCAGAAATGAAAAAATTATATATATTATATCTGCACAAACCAGCACAAATATAGCACAAAAAATTTAGATCAATTTCTTTTGATTTAAAAGAGGTGGGGAGGGCAACTTCACAAAGGTTGAAATTTTATGTTTGAAAAGTCACTCACACTCACACACACACACACACACACACACACACACACACACACACACACACACACACCTGACTGGTCTGAGAAAATAAACACTAATTTAACAAAGAAATCTCACAATTTCAATAACGTTGTTTAACGTATAAAAACAAAGACAATCTTTATTTCAGTTACAAAGATCAATAAATAATTGAGCCATTAGGTGTGAAAAATATTTTTAAAAATAAATTAAAAAAGTTCTCGCCACATTTTGTATTTATCGAATAGAAATCAGTTAGAAAAGTTTTATCTGAGTTAACTTCAGACAGTGAGAAAAAATGTCTTATTATTAGGTATATGAAAATATCTACTTTCAACTCTAAAAGTAATGTTTTCCAAATTTAGGCTTTAATCAGGCATTAGACTGAACTTTACTACCAAACTCATCAGTTTGAACATCAGTCACTTTATTCAGAATTCAAGCACTTTCCAAACCTTAAACACCTCATTGGAATTGAAGCATTTTCAAGAATCTTAAACACCAGTAGGAACCCTGATGAAGAGGATAACAGCACAGTCGGTGTGTGTTCAACTACGATTCTATGGTGTTTTCATCCTTAAAGAAAACACATTCACTGATTAGATTGTAGTATTTTGAACAGAAAACCAGCAGCATGTAAAGCAGCCCAGCAAATGTGCTTCAGAGACTTCAGTAGAGACATGAGGTAAAACCTCGCTCACCTGTCCAGAGGCATGTACGCGTTGAGAATGGAGCCGGCCATTGCTTTGGTGCTGGCGTTGTCGCTGATGGTGCCCAGGCTGACAGTGGCCGACTCCCCGCTCAGGCTGCAGCGCTCCTTCTGCACGTCGGCCTGGACCTCCATCCTGAGATGGCGACACATTTTAGGTGAAGCGGAAACAGAACAGCGAGACGGCGCGCTGGCTGAAGCGCTTTCGGCGGACAGCACCTGTGCAGGTAGTTGACCATGGCGCTGCCGGACAGGCTGCTGGTGATGCTGGCTCCGGCCAGAGCCATGGTGGAGGCTGTCTCGCTCAGGTTGTCCCTGGCGGCGCCGAGGCGGTCCATGTGGCTGCCGCTGGCGCTCAGGCTGCCCGTCATACCCCCGACGCTGCCTTCGCCGATACTGGGGTTGTTCCTGGTGTCAGCTACCGATGTCGTATCTATGGAGGAGATGACACCAGGAACAATTCAATGTATTAGCAATAATTTGTACTTTTGATTTTGATTCATTGCAAATGGTAATAAAATTATGTTTTCTATGAAAGAACAAATGCAGTATATGTTTATTGACATGTCTATAGTACCCATCCATCCATCCATTTTCTGTCCACCCTTGTCCCTAGTGGGGTCAGGAGACATGTCTATAGCACGTATGTATTATTTAAACTATTGATGTTCTATATACTCATGTATTTTGATAAAAGTGTTTCATTGTCATTGAAGGATAGTATAAAGGGCTGAGAATTAAATTGTGTAAACGTGTAATTAAAACAACTAACCTTTATGTTCCAAAACAGCTTTTTGTGTAAGTGTGTAGATTCACTTATTGTTTTATTTTTTTTTTATTAATTTATTCAAAATAAATATCAAAATAAGTTTTTAAGGTTCAATTAATCAAATGTTTTTTGTTTTGTTTGTTTGTTTTTTTACACGTGATAAATTGCGGCTGGAACTTTTGTATTTGCGCGTTTCTGGTAAGCCCATAAAACCTGACGCACAAGTGTTATCCACAGCAATGGGCAACGAATATGCTCATATGCTTATTTATTCAATAACTAGCAGCAAAAACAGATGTTGAAATGAAATTGTTGCTTATTTTATAAAACATAGTTTTGATTGACCCTACAGTTAATCCAATGGAACATTTCAGTCCCATCAGGAAAGCACATGGTTCAGCCTCAGAAGCAACAGTAAAAGTTACCGGTAGCAGCCGTTCCGTTGCCAGCATTCATGTCGTTCTCATCATCGAACTCGATCCGAACTCCCTTTCCGTTCCCGGCTGACACGCCGCAGCCTCCACTGCGGCACAGAGAGATGGGCACCACGCCGTAGACATAGGCAAGCATGATGGGGACCCCGATGCCTGACGGAGGGGCCAGAGAGAGACCAGCATGTGAGAAACCAGCTGTCTTCATAATGAAAACAATACGGCAGCAGCAGAGAGACTGAATCTCGCTCAGAAAATGGAATTTTCATGAGAGATTCTGACTCAAAACAACAAACTTTAGCTGAGGACGATATTTAGCCACAAGCCAAAAAGTCAATAAAGATGTGAAGATACAGATGAGGAAGAAAGAGAGAGAGGAAGAGGAAGAGACTGACCGACGGTGACTGCAGCCACCACAGGAGACACGATGGCAGACAGCGTCACTCCACCAGCGATCACCAGGTTCCGCTCATGGTTGGAAATATCCTTGCCTTCATAGCGGTTATGGATCTGACGGGGACAGTCCAGACATGAGGGAGAGTTAACCCTGTAACTGCCAGGCTGTTTCCATTCTGACTGGATGCCAGTTAAACTGCAGGACATGACTTAAGAGCGACTTTCTTAAAGGTTGGTCAGAGCTGTGTAGAGAAACCCCGACAGTCTTCATTAAATCTAGTAGAGCTGAAACAATTAATCGTGATGAATCCATTTATTGAAGTGATCATCAACTAATTCAGTATCGATTAATTATGCAGACTAAAAAAAAAAAAAAGAAAAAGAGGACACTTACTCTCAAAATATTGAGTCAATATGAGGCCAAAACTGTACAAAAAATATAAACATTTCGCATCGAAGACAAAAAAAAACTTCTTTGTCTGTAAATGTGTTCAACTCAAAACTCAAGGGCTGAGCTTTTCACACGCTGTTAGGATTTTTTTAAAAGTTTTTGTAAAAAAAAAAGTTTTCACTATAAGAATGCTGTTATTGCATTTTAGGCAATACTATGATTTTATGGAGCTGAATTTGTCTATTTTCATATTTTAATGCATTTCTACTATTGAACAGAAGAGGTTTGAGAGGCTAAAAAACTTCAGAATTAATTGTTAGAATAATCGATAACTAAAATAATGCCTGGTTGCAGCCATAGAGTCTAGACATTGTTTTATTTACTTTAGAGAAGGAAAGAAATGTCTCTTGGCTCTGGCTTCTTCTTTTGGCAGGCTTCGCCGGGGGATTCTGGAGAGTCTTAGTAACGCCACATTATTGGAAAGAGAAACTATAACTCCTCACACAAGAATGTCCTTAGACTAAATTAGCAGTTTGCAACAGAAATAAAAATTCACTATACTCAGACCAGTTAAGTGGAAAATATCTGGATATAACCAAGCACACAGATTCATCTGCAAATTATCCATGAGTAAAGCAGGAAAAAAGGAAAGATTTCCCCTCGGTGTTGTTCTGTCTCACCTTCCTGCCCACGTATACAGGTATGCCGATGATCATGGCAGGGATGGCTATCCCAGCAATCAGTGCAATTCCAACAGGAGCGCCCACTAGTGTTCCCAGCTGCCAAAGGATCTTCTTCTTCCTGCTCCAAGGCTTCTTCCCCCAGAACGTACAGCCTGACGGACTGAAACCAGCAGCACAACGGTCAACTTTCACCAAACTGATGAAAATATTATATTACCCATCAATACAGAGGCAAAAAATAAAGACACACAAGATGTGAAACAACACAACAGAAGATGAATTTCAATAGTAATTAGGAGCGTGTCGGTTGCAGTTTTCTGGCTACTGTTTGTTTGAAAAGTTGTTAAATATAGCAAGAAAAGTTGTCAAGTTGGCCACAGTGAGCCGACTGCTGTTAACTGTACACATACATAAAAAGCAAAAAGGGACAGAAGCTGAGTTTCAGATATTTGTGGAGGAAGTTAACATCTGTTTCTTATGTCAGTATCAGGCAATCGCTGATTTCCCAAAATGAAGACAAATCAAGGTTCATTTATTGGTTTCTCCTACTGTGAAACAACATTTTCGTTCAACATTCTCAACCCAAAGTTGATTGCAATTCAACCTGATTAAAAAACACCCTCTCCTTACTGTTTAAACTGACTGTTCTGGACTTGGCGTTCGATTCTTACCTCAAGTAGTGCAAGTCTGAGATCTCCTTCATGCAGAGCCAGCAGAACTCACAGCCACAGACAGCACAGGTCATGTGGTTACAGCTCCCGTCATTCATTTTGACGATGTAAGCGGCGCAGCAAGGACATGGCTTAATGTCGTCGGCTGCAACAAAACAGAACATGATGGACAGGAAAGAAAAAAAAACACACACATCAGAGACGGCGCTCTAAATGGAAATAAATAGACCAGACAAGCATTACACTTTAGCAGCACTGGACAGCTGGTCTCTGCCGAGCTCCAAATTTATACTCAACTGATGAAAAGTCTGATAAATCATGAACTAAAACAGTCCAATAAACAGTAAAAGAAAAAATAGAACATAAAAAAAAACATTCACCTTTTATTTTGATATATAGCTTTGCTTTGATTTTTTCACATTATTCTACTAACTTTCATTGTGGCAGAAAAAATACAAAAATGGCAAAAAAAAAGACACAAAAAGCAGCAGTTGTAATGCTGCTTTTTGTGCAGCATTACAACTGCACAAAAAGCAGTTGTAACTTTTCCTCACTTTGATGAGGAAAAGTCATCAGCTGAAAACAAGCTTTTGAAAATAATACATAAAGTGATTCAATTATAAAAGAAGTATTAGAATACTATTGATGTAAAACTATTTAATTCAAAAAAAATTTTAATCATTAAAATAAAGATTTTAGCTTATTAAAATCAAAGTCAAAAGTTATTTTAATTAGCTTCATGTAACATTCTGATCTTCTATGGTGTTTTTTTCATTACTGTAGGCAGAAAATCCTAATCCAGTTAAGGGCTTAAAAACATTAGCTTATGTGTGTTTAATCCATATAATGTGTTTTGCCAAGTGAAATAAATGAACTTTTTAATAATTCTCTAAGTTACTGGACATGGTTCTGTGCTTTCTGGAGCAGCCCACCTGCGGCACCGCTCTCCTGACTGTAGCTGAGGGAGGACGAGCGCACGGTTCTCAAGCGGAGACTCTGGGCTCTCTGCTGGCGTGCCGCGTCACACGTTTGGTTGGGGTGCCACCGCTGCTTGCAGTGGTAGCAGAACTCCGTGCCGCAGCCCTCCCTGCCGCATGTGATCTTTGGACAGCTGGCACAGCCAAAAGCTATCACTGCATATCTGGGAAACAGCAACAAAATAAATAAATAAATCGCTTCAATATGTGATGGTCACAACTCTGGGGGGTAGGGGGGAGGATTATGGGACTCTGTTTGCTATACATTAAATATAATTGTTGGCACAATAAAATAAAAATGCAAAAAGAGTTTATTTTTGTGAACAGCTGCAAATAGTGCTGGGTATTTATTGTATCATATCATTTATCACTAATCATGATAAGTTTCTTATAAGGATTTTGATTTATTGTTGCAATAAATTTCAATTAATGTTTAAAATCCATCAAACTTGTCTGTGTTAAGATTGTTAACTTGACTATTTTTCCACCGTTCTTTCATTGGTTGTATCAACAAATATCAATACTTTTTTATATGACTGATGTTTAAAAGAAATGGGTTGCAAGTATTTTCAAGAGTTGTATTTGTATCTGTGGAGCCATGATTGCTATGCCGTTTACCTGAAAAATTAGTAATAAATAGTATTGTCACTTTTATTGTAATCACAATACTACTATAAAATATTGTGATAAATCTTCTGGTCTATATTTTATACTTTGACCTGCAAACTCTACAGCTCAATACGATCGATACAGAAATTTTCTCTAATCCATCAGGACTGTTGAGAAAAAAAACAAACACATTTTTTGCATCATGGGAAAAAAATAAAGCTAGGTGTAATGAATTTATACTGTTCATGTATGAATGCACACTGAATATTTGAAACTGTTTTTAAAGGTCAGATTTAAAACGGCATGGACTGTGGAGTGATGCTCCATTCAGGGAGGCTGCTAATCATCAACCTCAATCCGATCCCATAAAGTGATGTTAAACACTAGCGAGTCACATTTCAGGGCTTAAATGACGTTCTGGAGGTTTGTGTAGCAGTTGGGCCTGACCTCAGGGCTAATGTTTAATCACAGAGCCACTGAGGGCCTGGGAGACTTCCTCTGCTCTGGATCAATTTACACTGAGATCCCCGTCTAGAGCCCAGACAGAGGGCTTCGATGTGAGCCCAGACAGACACCGGACACCAGTGGGGTCCAAACTGTGCCCAGGGGACATTTACACCCATCTGAACACTTTCCTGCGGTATAAATTTTGGAGCTGATATAGATTAATGCTGAATAGTTAGATTTTAAATATGACAGACATTTAGTGACAGATTTTTCTTAAATTGGAAATGTTAGTTAACACCTAAAAATCTTCTGTTTTGGAGTAAAACACCTAATAAAAGACAAATACTGACTTGGAAGCACATTCCAATTCACATTCATCAAATTTATACCAGCCAGAAGTAGAAACTTCTGGCTGAGAATAGACAAAAAAAGAAAAGAAACGTATGACTGTTTCATTAAAACAAATATCCAACACCCTTTTTAAGAGTTGCAGTGATTTTACACTTTCCAATTTTTGTCAGTAAAAGCAGGAATGCTCCAATATGAAAACTGAATATTAATATTGCTGTTGTGGTCAAAAACTGATCCTGTTTTAGTAATTCAGAATAACAGTTTTTCGTTTTATTTGCAAGAAAATTTGGCCCCCTGGCTAATCTCAACTGGGCCATTTTAGCCCCAGTGCAAAAAAGTTTAGACGCCATAGCAACAGGATTGGCTCAAAGATCACAGTTCAAATAAAAAGCTACACGTCAGTTTACGCACATAACATGAATAAACACTAATGGTTGAGAGTAACTTAAAATTCTTACTTGCTCTAAATGTGGTAGAGGAAGAAGAATGACCTCAAAAACAGTATTCGTCCATTTTACACAATGAAGATGTTTATATTTGCTGCTTGGAGCTAACAACATGTTCAAAATATTTAGTGCTCAGTCAATTATCAGAAATATTAACGTAGTAACATCTTGTTGCTAAGCTCACAGTGTGATGTGGTTTGGTTGTTTACATGTAAAGAACCAACACGGGTTCACTCAGAATGGATTTTAATACAAAGTGTTTTGCATGAAGTGCGTCTGCGCCGGCTGCTTACCCACAGTCTGGTGCGGGACACCAGCGGCAGTCCGGATCTGCGACCAGCCACCTCCTCAGCATGAACTCCTCATATTTCTCCATCAGCACTTGGTCCCCCAGAATCATACGGATGTCGTGTGGGTTGAACCGCTCGGCACACTCGGGGCAGCTGATGTTGATGCGTGACTCCGAGATCTCGATGCGCAGATACTGGCGCAGGCAGTCGCTGCAGGAGCGGTGGTGGCACGTCATGATGTCGGGGAAGCTCTCCCTGGAGAGGCGTAGAAGGCACAGTGGGCACTCCAGTAGTTCCGCCCCTGCTGCTCCCCCAGCCTTAGCTGAGGAGCTGGTAGCAGCATAAGAAGGCCCTGAGGCGGAGGACAACGAGGCGGCGGCGAAGGCGGCTCCTGTCCCCGCCGCAGAAAAGAAGGCCGAGTTCTTGTCGTTGCACATTTCAGAGTGGATGCTCTCGATGCTGGCGATGCCGTCCACTCCTGCAATGCCCCCTGACCCGGGGTGCTGGAGGTCCCTGGACTGCTGGCGGCCTGATTTAGTGTCCCGGCCTCGTCTTCGGAAGAGAGAAGCCAGAGAGAGCCGCCTCTTCTTCGGGGCCTTCTTCACTGAAGGCAGAGAGATGGAAGAAGTGGCAGACTGCAGGTCGCGGTCAGAATCCATGACCCCGACGTTTCCAGCACCCAGCTGCTGCTGCTGCTGCTTCTGTGAGTTCATCTCCCCGGGAGGAGGAGAGAGGTGCGCCGGTGGGGAGCCAGCACTGGGCAGCCTGTCTCGCAGGTGGGTGGAGAGGTGGGGGAGTGGGA